CATATCCATATGGATGTATCCGTCAGATTCTTCGAGAGAGAAATGTTCTTTCATGTATGTCAAGAGCACATTTCTCTAATTTAAGCTCTTGCAATTCATGATGGATACATTAGCTACATATGGACTTCCGCTTTCATATACGACACGACACAAACGAGAGATAGAGATAAAGATTTCACAACTCATCTCCCCATATACGTCTGTGTAGGTACTCATTTGCAGTTAGTGCCGGATACACAGGCTACATATTATTCCACTTCCCGATACACATCTAAAAGACAGGCAAACTGGAGAGAGCAGATTCACACAAGACCACGTTTTTCTAAACTCTTTGCAATTTAAGGCGGATACACCCACTACATATTCCACTGCGTCTTTCTTGCATGACACGACAAGATGGCACGAAACAGAGGGACACAAGAGAGAGAGAGAAAGAGAGAGAGAGAGAGAGAGAGAGAGAGAGAGAGAGAGAGAGAGAGAGAGAGAGAGAGAGAGAGAGAGAGAGAGGGAGAGATGGTCCGAGAGAGAGAGACATGTTATGGTAAGAGAGAGAGAGAGACCTGTATGTCGAAAGCGCATTTGAATCAAGTTAGACTCTCTCTCTATTGGGTATTTTGTGACAAATACATCCCTACATATGCTTCGAGAGAGAGATGTTCTTTCATGTACGTCCAGAGCACATTTGTCTAAAGCTTTTGCAATTAATGGCGGATACATCAGCTACATATTTCACATCCGCTTTCATAAACGACACGACACAAACGAGAGATAGAGAGAGAGATTTCACAACTTATGTCCCCATATACGTCTGTGTAGATACTTGACTTATCAATTCTCATTTGCAGTTAGTGCCGAATACATCGGCACTAATTCCACTTCCAATTTCATATGTGAGACGACACAAACAAAAGATAAAGAGAGAGATGTGCAAGTGATTCATAACTCATGTTTCCATACACATCTGCATGACCACAATTTTCTAAACTCTTTGCAGTTTATGGCGGGAGATGTGCAAGTGATTCACAACTCATGTTCCCATATACGTCTGCATGATCAGAGTTTTCTAAACTCTTTGCAGTTTATGGTGGATACATCCGCTACATATTCCACTGCGCCTTTCTTGCATGACACGGCACGTGCCAACAGTAAACGCCGGGGGGAGAGAGAGAGAGAGAGAGAGAGAGAGAGAGAGAGAGAGAGAGAGAGAGAGAGAGAGAGAGAGAGAGAGAG